GCAAACTCACGTGTTTGGAAGTAATGCCTGCAAAAAATGTAGCTGCAATGGGTCTTCCTGACTCTGCAAAACCACCATACTTTCCCACTGCCCTGACCATCCAAAACTAAATTCCAGCTTTGCCTATGGAAGGCTCTCATAACAACTAAATGGATTCTCAGTGTTTGGAAGAAACTGGGTACTTTGAAATGCCAGATGTCAGGGAGAAACCTGAGGATAACGTTGCACTCATGCCATTCATGTGAAAGTCCCAGAGGCATTTGCCATCTTTTGGTTTAGACAGAGCCTTTGAAATCCTGACTCCTGACTCTACTTTCTTGAGGGCAAATAATCATTCTTTGAGAAAAAGGACTTAAAAAAAAAAAAAAGCCCAACATTGAGGATTTATGCACTGTGAACCCGAGTAAAACAAACTTAAAAGAAAAGATTGCAAGATTCTTTTACCCCTTCTCTCATCCCCCTCATTTTGCTGCTCTCACTTTCCTCCACCTGTGAATGCTCTCCATGGGATTTGGAATTTGAATTGCATGGGAAGTCTGTCGGAAGGGATGATGGGTAGGTATAGAGTAGTGCTTCTCTGACCCCTTCCACACAGCTGAATAAAATCCCACATCTTCTGTTTTGAATATATAGCAGTGTGGACTCAGATAACCCAGTGCAAAACAGATATTGTGGGATTTTCTGCCTTGATATTTTAGGTTATAGGGATGTTTGGACGGGTCCTCAAACTCTGCTCCTCCAGGTGTTTTGGACTTCAGCTCCCAGAAATTCTAGCCAGTTTACCAGCTGTTAGGATTCATAGAAGCAGAAGTCCACAGCATCTGGAGGAGAAACACTGGTGTAGAGTCATAGTAACATAGAGTCGGAAGTAGACTCATGGGCCATTGAGTCCAACATCCTGCTCAGTGTTGAATCTGTAGCTAAAACATCCCCAGCAAGTGATTCTGCTGCATTGAGCATGAGGTTGGACTTGATGACCCATATCCTGTTTCTATATGATGCAAGAGCATTTTCCTTCATTGTGCATGTTGAACTACTCCCCAGGTAGGACTTAAATATAGCTATTATATAGTATGTGGCAAGAAACCCTTGGCTGTACTGGTGATGTGCTATGTTGGTTCCAGCTAACAGGAGAAATTGTTAGGTAATGGGAATTGTAGTCCAACACCCATGTTCTAGACTCAATTCCCAAATTCTACAGCAGTAAGTTCCTTGAGAATATAAAGGAAAAGCTAAGTACAGCAAGACCTCTGTAACCATGGAACCAATATCTGGGGTTTCACTTATGGGGAGAAACTGAGGATACTATCCTGGGAATCCCTCCAGTGCAACTCTATGATATGCTGGAACTAGAAGTCATGTTGTTCAATGGACTTCAATCATATTTGTGGTTTCAGGTAATAGCAGTCTAGCTGGGAAGCTATCCCCTGCCAATACAAGGCTCTTACTGCGATACTAATTTCTGTTGCATTAACTTTTCTTAAATATCCAAATTCTTTATCAGGTTTATTTGTTTGCAGACATTAAAATGGAAGATAGTGCTTTATCATTTCACAACCAATGTGTCTCCAAAACCAATGCTAATAGTTTTAGGGAGAAAATTTTCTAAACTAGCTGCAAACACAAATCCAAAATGATTGGAAGGGAGTGCTGTTCCATACTGAGATTAATTTTAGCTAAATGTTTTGCATGCAGCTTGTTGCCTTCCCCATTAGACCCATCTGTTTCGTGGGCTCACAGCCAGTGAGGGCAGAGGCCCTTCAACTATTATGATAAAAGTCTTTGAAGAAAAGAGCTGTATTAACCCCTGTCCACTAGGATTTTTTTAAAAAAATAAATAAATTTGCATTGTCTGAATTGTGGGAAACTTTGTGCTGGCAGTATATGAAGAGCCAGGGATGGGATTGTGAAAAGGAGAGTGTTTGGAACCATTATCCTCAATTAATATTGGGGTCATACTGTATTGATTTGTTTTTAAAAAATCATGATTTATTGGCTGTGTTTACTTTAATCAGCCTTGAGCCACATATTAGGAGAAAGATGGGATACAAACTAAGATAAATAAATGAATAAATGCATTTGAGTTGGGTTTGAATGTTTGTTTAGAAAGAGAACCTTGAAAATGTCCTCTGCTCTTGAGAACAATTTCTGAGATCTCCTTTTCAGAATAGCATATGCTTTGTATATACAAAGAATCTGCTTACATCCTTCTAGGAAACAGTGTGGTCAGCTGAATGATTCATGTGAACTGATTTTAAGAATGAGATCCCTATTAGATAATCCTTTGGAAAGTCAAGTCAGCTTTACGTTTACTGTTTATTTATTTTATTTATTTACTGTATTTGTATACCGCCTTTCTCAGCCTATCGGTGACTCAAGGCAGTTTCCAACAAAACAGTATACATAGTATCACAAAACAATTTAAAACATTACAATTACATAAACCACAACAGAAATAAAAACAACATCATTGGCGTCTCCTTATTGTCAAGCATTGTCCAATTCCATCGTCAATCATCAATTTCCTATACCATTTATCCATATCCGTTACTCTGTGTTTGTGAACGCTTGCTCAAACAGCCACGTTTTGACTTGCTTCCGAAACATTAGGAGGGAGGGAGCAGATCTAATCTCTCTAGGGAGGGCGTTCTATAGCCGGGGGGCCACCGCTGAGAAGGCCCTGTCTCTTGTCCCCGCCAAACGTACCTGAAACAAAGGCGGGGACGAGAGCAGAGCCTCTCCGGACGATCTCAAGGTTCTAGATGGTTCATAAGGGGAGATACGTTCAGACAGATAAGCTGGGCCAGAATTGTTTAGGGCTTTAAAGATTAAAACCAGCACTTCGAATTGTGCCTGGTAGCAAACTGGCAGCCTGTGGAGCTGGCGCAACAGGGGGGTTGTATACKCCCTGAGAGCCTCTCCAGTTAGCAATCTGGCTGCTGTCCGTTGGACCAGTTGAAACTTCCGGACAGTCTTCAAAGGCAACCCCACGTAGAGAGCGTTGCAGTAGTCTATAYGGGATGTATCGAGAGCATGGACTACYGTGGCCAAGTCAGACTTCCCAAGGTACGGCTGCAGCTGGCGCACAAGTTTTAATTGTGCGAATGCTCCCCTGGTCACCGCCGAGACCTGGGKTTCCAGGCTCAGCGATGAGTCCAGGATCACACCCAGACTGCAAACCTGCGTCTTCAGGGGGAGTGTAACCCTGTCCAACACAGGCTGTAACCCTATGCTCTGTTTGGCCTTGCGACTGTTGTTGTTAATTGCCATCAAATYACCTTTGAGAAATCTCCAAGAGTTCCTGTTATCATTTGAGTTCGATATGAATAAATGATGTCAGGAAAATAGTATAAACCGAGATGCAGTTGGATTGTAGCTCCCATCACCCCAAAGGCAGCCTGCCCAGTTGTGAGAGACTAGGTGAATGGCACATCAACAGCACTGGTGTGTGTGTGCACTGTGAAACCAGTTGGCACCCCTCTTATAAGCAAATTAATTGTATAAGTAAATACAGTAAAATGAGCCATCCTCTGATCCATCCTTTACACTTGATATGTTTGTTAGCAAGATACACAAAGAAACAGGCTAGTGATTCACCCATTATTTGCTTAATGGGTAGAATAACAAACAGTTCAAATAACATGCAAACTACATTATAGGGCTTTGGAGAAGTTGAGAACTTTAACGCTAGAAGTCATATTGAACTTTCAGCTGTGCAAGATTCCTTGGCATCAGAGCTAATGGTTAGGAATGAGGAGAAATCTTCTCCAGAGTCATGGGGAGGACTATCCTTCCCCACCCCTCCGGCCCAGGAAGAGCATCCCATGCCTGTTATATATTATTTAAAGCTTTATTACATTGAAGTGTTTGCTTTTTATGGTGTGAAATTAGCAGTAGTGCTCTAATTTGAGGAAGTCAAGAAATGAATGATCCAAACTTCTTAGTTGTTCTTGCTTTGGCTTCCTTTTTGATGCAAAAATGAAACTTGTTGGCCTGATCATTTTGTCAAGCTAAGCATACTTCTAGAAAGAAAGAATTAGAATTCTGAAATGTTAAAAAAACAAACCCAAAGTTTTAACTCCCAACACACTTCACAGCAGTCAGCATGAGTTTTCAAATTGATTCACAATACTGTTTCCCACCACATGGTGAATTTCAAAAGTGGAAGCATTCTCCAAATCATAATGAAATGTGGGTTTGGAAAATCACTTGAATGGTGTATGTGGGATCGGGGGAATAGCAGTGCTGTGAAGGTGTCGTACTCCACTAAAGTTCTGGAAGCCAGCATATTGAGCTTGATTATATTACTTATCTATATTCCTTATTGACAGGTCAACTGTTTAAGAAAACAGTTGACCTGTCAGATGGTTAAGAGCATCTTAAGATGTTAAGAACAGTGGGTTAAAACACTGAGCTGCTGAACTTGTTGACCGAAAGGTCGCAGGTTCAAATCCAAGGAGTGGTGTGAGCTCCCACTGTCAGCCCTGGCTTCTGCCAACCTAGCAGTTCGAAAACATGCAAATGTGAGTAGATCAATATGTACCGCTCCAGCAGGAAGGTAACAACGCTCTATGCAGTCATGCTGGCCACATGACCTTGGAGGTGTCTACGAACAATGCCGGCTCTTCGGCTTAGACATGGAGATGAGCACCAACCCCCAGAGTCAGACACGACTGGACTTAATGTCATGGAAACCTTTACCTTTTTTTACATTTGATTTGTTTTATTTTTCATTGCTTTTCAGCACTTAGAAACAAAAAAAAAATACATATTTGGCAGTACCCTGCTGGGAAAGTACATTACCTAACCTCCCATGAGAACTGTAGATTTGTACTTTAAATGTTGAAGAAGCTTTTAAAGCCCTCATCTGTGACATCTGAATTCTGCTGCATAAAATTATACCTTCTCCAGCATAACAAAACAAATGCAAAATGCTCTAGATTTTCTGTTTATTGAATCTTAATCTAATCTTTAATAAATTACTTTAAAATATTTTGCAGGCAAATGCTTTGAGTAGCACATGAAGACATCATGGCCTGCCTTACGATGACAGAGATGGGAGGGACAGCGTCATCTCCTATTCACCAGAATGGTGGCGTCATTGGGAATTCAACCATTTCCAGACAAACAGAACCACAGCTTCGGATTTACCTTTATCATTCCCCGGGAAAGACTGAAGGCGATTATTTGGAATTTCCAGCTGGAGATTATGTTGCGGAAGAGATCTGCATTGCTGCTTGTAAGGCTTGTGGTAAGATCATATTTCTTTCCTTGTTTGGGATTTGGCAATAAGTACAGACAGCTCAGTTGCTGCCTCCTGGGCATCGATTGGGAATATTGTATTCCATCTGTTTGAGTTTAGTGCTTCTTTTTACCAATGTGGAGTATTAACTCATCACACTGGTCTCATTTGGACCCATTCTGGGGAACAGCCAGAATAAGAGCTTTCACTTCAGTTTCCAGTTCTACACAGCTCAAATCCCATAACTTAGTTTTTAAAAAATCCAATTTCTTACATCTTTCAAGAAACTATATATATTCCATAATTGCTTGGATATGTGAGATTGCAAGTATTGTCAAATTCTATTGAGTGTAAGACCTTCTGGCAGAAGTATAACATAGTGTTGGAGGATCTAGAAAATGATTCTAAAGAGGAAACTTCTTTAGGTATCACTAGATTCCAGCACAACTTTATAGACAACTTCTGGGAGGAGCATACCATAGAATCAATTGGAGGACCTAGAAAATGCATAGAGAAAACATATTTTTTTCAGATGTGGGTAAATGAAACTTCTTTCCCGGTACTCTTAAAACATTGGTCTTGCTGTATAGACTAATTACAAGTCATCCAGGTTTGTCAAGTGAACTACAGTTTGTCCAACTTAGGACATAAGACTCAACGACGGTTAGTTAAAATGATTACTCTAGAGCAGGAGTCCTCAAACTTTTTAAACCAGGTCACAGTCCCTCAAACGGTTGGAGGGCCGGATTATAATTTGAAAAAAAACCAGGAATGAATTCCTATGAACACTGCACATATTTTATTTGTAGTACAAAAAACACTTAAAAACAATACAATACTTAAAATGAACAATTTTAAGAAATATAAACTTATTAGTATTTCAATGGAAAGTGTGGGCCTGCTTTTGGCTGATAAGATTGTTGTTGTTGTTGTTGTTGTTGTTGTTGTTGTGTGCTTTCAAGTCATTTCAGACTTAGGTTGACCCTGAGCGAGGGCTGGGTAAATGACCTTGGAGGGCCGTATCCGGCCCTCGGGCCTTAGTTTGAGGACCCCTGCTGTAGAGGAAGGGTACAACCATGAAGGGTGAACCATATTGGACTAAGGTTCATTCATATATATATATATGAAGCCTTCATGTCCTGAGAAGAAAAAGCTGTGCACACAAAACAAAGATTTTGAAAGCTATGGCTGTTTTCTGAAAGCATCAATTCTTCATTTATTCCAGCAAGAGCTGATTGTCTCCAATTAAGCAAATTGGAGATGTCCACACCAAATGAAATAAAAAATGCTGATGGATGCTGACGATGTTGTAGGAAGCTTTTTCTCTCCATCCCCATCTCACAATTTTTAAACAGCTAAGGGGGAGTCTACATCCATAAACAATAAACAAACAAAATGTGTCCATAGCTCAGGAACTATGCGTATTTCCTGTCTGGAGGAAGAGAACAGTTGAATCTCAGAGAAACCCTGGGACCATTGAGCACTGGAACCTTTTTGTGATCTTCTGCTTCCGATTCCCATGTGTCTTTTTTAACTTGGGCAAATGCTTTTATTGATGGAAAAATGCCAAAATTTACTGAAGTGGAAGGTAAAGGTAAAGGTTTTCCCATGACATTAAGTCCAGTTGTGTGTGACTCTGGGGGTTGGTGCTCATCTCCATTTCTAAGCCAAAGTGCCGGCGTTGTCTGTAGACACCTCCAAAGTCATGTGGAGCGCCACTGAAGTGGAAGGGGTGCCCAATTTCAAAGTGGGAAGGCAATTATAGGACTAGCTGAGTTGTACTCGAATGTACTAAGGAACTTCCTGATGGACTTCTAGCAACTTTGGACACCATAATTTATAACCAGTGAGGTTCTGTCAGACTGAGCATAGGGAAATGTTAATAAAACCATAGAATTGTGGTTGAAAAGGGGCCTCAAGCGCACTTAGATAAACCACTTCCTGATGCAGGAAATGTACAATTAAAGCATTTGTGAGAAATTTGCCTTCATAAAAGAGCCAACTTCAGACTGAATTATACTACTAAATAAATGATGAATCAGTCAGTCTTCAAACAATCCTGATACAAGTGCAATGATTAGTTGAAGTTATTGTGGATTTCTCAGAGTTATCTTTTGCCATATTACTATATACATTTGTGTATAAATTGACCATATGTGTGTGCGTGTGTGTGTAAAGAGAAAGAGAGAACGAGAATGAGAATGGGTTTAGGGACCAAAATTATGGATTTTGATATGGCTTATAGATGGGGGGGGGGGGGGGGGGGGGGGGGGGGAGTGCTAGCATCATCTCACCCCAGCCACTGCTGTCACTATTTTCCCCCAGGCATTCAAAAAGACATTTTGCCACTAGCTTCACTAGAGGGTTGGAGCCCCCGATGGCGCAATGGGTTAAACCCTTGTGCCGGCAGGACTGAAGACCGACAGGTCGCAGGTTTGAATCCAGGGAGAGTGCGGATGAGCTCCCTCTATCAGCTCCAGCTCCTCATGCAGGGACATGAGAGGAGCCTCCTACAAGGATGATAAAACATCAAAAACATCCGGGTATCCCCTGGGCAACATCCTTGCAGATTACCAATTTTCTTACACCAGAAGCAACTTGCATTTTCTCAAGTCGCTCCTGACACGACAAAAAAAACAAAAAAACAAAACAAAACAAAAAACTAGAGGATTGCAGACCACGCTGGTTGACACCACCAGAAAAGGGCAACATGGCTGCAACTTCCAGAATCTCTCAACATGTGCATTGTACTAAACTCCCTGCTTTGTACTTTCCTTTCTGGTCCATTCAGAATGGGGAGGTTTACTCACAAGTAAGCAACCGGACAATCACACATCCCTTTGCCCAAACCAATTTCTGTCTCACCTGGTGCTGTGGCTACTGTCTCCTTTTCGGCTGATGGGGCCTCCGCACATGTGCTCCTGTCCTGGCTCATCCTCCTGTGGCAGCACACTCCTCTTCTCCAGCTCCCAAGCAGCAGACCACAGTGAGCTGGAGGGCTGGTAGCAGCAGTAGATACGGAGCAGCCGGCCCGTTTCACTGGCCGCCCGGGAGAGGAGCACACCACCACCAGATTTGGAGAAGAGGCAGGAAGGGGAGTGCATTGCGGGCCTCAATGGCCAACAACAGGACAAGGGCACTGGTTGCAGGATAAGCAGTGGATTAGATGGGAAGTGGCATGGACAACGAGTGTGTGACCTTCCACTTATTTACCTGTAGATCAGTGTTTCTCGACTTTCCAAATGCCGCGACCCCTTAATACAGTTCCCCATGGTGTGGGGACCCCAACCATAACATTATTTTCGTTGCTACTTCATAACTGTCGTTTTGCTACTGTTATGAATCGTAATGTAAATATCTGATATGCAGGATGTATTTTCATTCATGGGACCAAATTTGGCACAAATACCCAATATGCCCAAATTTGAATACTGGTGGGGTTGGAGGGGTGTGTGTGTTGTCATTTGGGAGTTGTAGTTGCTGGGATTTATTGTTCACCTACAATCAAAGAGCATTCTTCTGAACTCCACCCACAATTGAATTGAACCAATCTTGGCACACAGAACTCCCAAGATCAACAGAAAACACGGGAAGGTTTTGGTGGGAATTGACCTTGAGTTTTGGAGTTGTAGTTCACCTAAATCCAGAGAGCACTGTGGACTCAGACAACGAAAGATCTGGACCAAACTTGGCACGAATACTCAATATGCACAAATGTGAACACTGGTGAAGTTTGGGGAAAATAGACCTTGACATTTGGAAGTTGCAGTTGCTGGGATTTATAGTTCACCTACAAAGAGCATCCTGAACCTCACCAATGAGAGAATTGGGCCAACTTCCCACACAGAACCCCCATGACCCACAGAAAATACTGTGTTTCCTGATGGTCTTTGGTGACCCCTCTGACACCCCCACACGATCCCCCCAGGGGTCCCTACCCCCAGGTTGAGAAACGCTGCTGTAGATAAACTAATCACTCCCTTACTCCGATCTGCCCAGAAGGGAAGGCACAGAGATGGTGGTATGAGAGAGGAGATGGAGGTGATACAAACCCCAGTGATGCCACTACCTTTTGCCACTTAACTCAGAGAAGGGAATAATAACAATAACAATAACAATAATACTTTATTTATATTCTGCCCTTCTCCCCGTGGGGACTCAGAGTGGATTACAGTGTAAACAGATACCGGCAAACGTTCAATGCCTTGTTACAATATACTGAGACATGCAAGCACAAACAAAGTCAAAGGCTTCTCCTTTCATTTCCGGCTTTGGAGACAGTACTCATCTCTGGCTCTGGGGGAGTTGCTGTTCTCCATTTCTAAGCGGAGGAACCTGCGTTGTCACCTGGTTGTGTGACCAGCATGACAACTTGGAGTATCTTAAACCTTTCCTGCCAATGTGGTACCTATTTATCTGCTCACATTTGCATGTTTTCAAACTGCTAGATTGGCAGGAGCTAGGGCTAACAGCAGGAGCTCACTCCATCCTGCTGATTCAAATTGCCAAACTTCAGGTCAATAGTTCAACAGTGCAAGGGTTTAACCCATTGCGCAACAGCATCCCCCATTTTTATAAGAGTTAATACTTCTCTCTTTTATCAAAAACGGATGGGAAAGCACGAGAGAGTCGCCAACATTTTCCTGCCCGGGTTAATATTGCACTTTATACTTACCTATGGATAAGTCTGTCTTGTTGTCTAAAATGTTTCGACTTAATGCCTAAGAATACATGTAACAACATCTCTTGTTGATCAGATGTAATGGGTTGTGAGAAAGCTTTGGATGTGATTTTATTTCATCAAGGGGTTTTATAAAGTTCTCCATAACTTTGTTCTCAAACTAGTTAAATCTAAAGGTAGAGGATGAATTGCAAGGCTGACAACAGCATTTACTTTTATTTCTATACAAGGATTTTCTCACTCAAAAAAGAAAGAAAAAAGTTATATTAGGATTAGTCTCTCTCCTCTCTCTCTCCCCCCCCCCCTCTCTCTCACACACACACAAGGC